AAATATTTTTCCTCTTTTGAATGCCTTGTCAACGTGAAATGTGTGAAAAAGGGTATACTGAACTTGTGCAAAGTTATGTAACAAGCAGAAGGAGGTCTAGAAACTGTAGCATATATATTCTCCATAAGATTTGGCTGTGTAAGCATCTGTCTAAGTGCTAGAGAACTCATTGCATTGCTTTCTTCATAGTTCCGATAGCAATGATTGCTCTCCGATTGTCTAAAATCGATAAATATCGATAATTAGTAGGTTTTTTGATGCACTTATCGAATATTAACAGAGATGGAGACACTAAAAATGGGAACCTACAAAATATAGCTTCTATATTCTTACTAAGATCTAGCTGCTAATGTTCTGTCTATGAGTGCCAAATATCGATAAATATCAATATATCGAGTAAATAATAGTCAGATCAAGTACAGATCACGTTTTTTATACCTCCCCTTGCCGCAATGACTAAAATGGTTAAATGTAAAAAGTAATTAAGGAATAAATCTCACAAAGTAAAGTTGATAAAAGTGCTATATATAAAGACACTTCTGATCTGGAGCACAGGGTATCTGCCAGCTCTGCACCAGATGTTCAACTTTTATTTTAAGATTTTCTGAAATTTTGTCACTGCGTATTTTGCTTTTTGTTTTTTTTTTTTTTTTAATAAAGCGCTGAGTTATTGTGACAATTTTAATTGTTTGCCAAATTGTTGGTGCATTATATGCGGACTGAATTATTGTCGAGATACGCGCAGAAGCATTGATTACGTCAGCATAAATTAAGATATACCTGGCGTTGATTTATGCGGACAGGTGTTAATTGTCATCGATTGGCCAATGAATAAGTATCCATAAGTATTCATATATCTGGATATATATACATATATATAGACATATACATATATACGCGTGTATCCACCCAGCAGGAAGCCGTTGGCGTGGGTGCCACAAATAGATATATATTTTTATTTAGCGGAAAAACAAGCGCTAATTGAATGCACTTAAAAGCCTGAACAACTCATGTTTCGTCCACTGATAAACTGCACTTTATGACTCGTGTAATAACCACGAATCCATATTTATATGTATTTACATAATTGCCGAAATATGCACAACAATTTATGTTGTCTTTTTGGCTTGCACCGTAGGGTTCCCGAGTTTTGTAATTGCGCAAATGGGTTAATGGTTATTTGCTGAGCTATTGCTGCTAAAGGGGCAGCTGAATGGGCTGCAAAGAGTTATGTTTCCCAAATTGCCGCAAACTAGAGCAGGAGCACTTATGCAGTTGACCTGATGATAGTAAAAGAGGTTTTAGTTTATATAGAAAACAAATTTCAGGAGTTCCCTAAGGGTGAGCTGAGCAAAAGGAGAGGCTTAAATTTCTGTTAGTTAATACTGAAAGTTAATAATGAAATAAAACTACGTTTAAATTGGTTCGTAATGGTAATACACATTTCGCTAGAACAGGGTTAAAAAATGGTATGAAGATTCGAATGTCTTGGCTCCCAGAAAATAATAATATTCCTTAACGGAAAAAATATATTAGACTTCTAACGTTTACTGAGAGCTGGCAGAAAGGGCAAGTGCTTTGCCACAAATGTTGGATACGAGGTAGGGAGAAATGCCATTTATTTTATTTTATTTTATATTTTATTTTTCCCGTTAATACATATTCCTATTACAACGGGTTTCGTTTCCTTGAGTCATGCCCCAGATTATTAGGGAACTACTTAGTCTTAAACAATTATCCTTAACCTTGTCCTTTAAGAGCAGCACTTGAAACTGTTTAGAAGACCACCCAAAACAACTTCAACTAAGAAGAAAAATAACACACACTCGTTTTTTATAGTTTTGGCCTGAGGTTTTAAATCATTGTAGGCGTGGTCCTAGCACTTACAACATAATTATTATAGAGGGCAACAAGATAGCCAAGAGCTAGGAGTTGCGCCATTAACATGTCTGGCCTGAGAGAGAGAGAGAGAGAGAGAGACACAGAGAGCGAGAGATGAGAACATTTTAATGATGCCATTAATTAGCAAAAATTACCAACAATAAGAAAACATTCTATACAAATTTAACACCCTCAAGGCACAGTGAAGAGAGTGAGTGAGAGAGGGAGCATAGGGAGCGGCGGCAGTTGGCCCAGTCCTTTTGGCCTGTTGTAACACCTTTTGATTTACGTGCAGTGCAGCAGCTCGTGGGCCATAAAACATAGTTAGAACCTTTTTGGCCCAAGTCGAAGCGGGTCTGAGCCAGGCTCATGTAACGCGACAGGGCGCCGTCTGTCTTAACAATTTTGGCCCAAAGCGCCTGCCAGCTACGAGGAGAGATAGAACTGGGCTGCCCAAGTGAGAGAGAGAGAGAGGGCGACAGGTAGGGCGAAAGGGAAAGCCAGCACCCACCGCACGTGCAAAAAATAGTAGAGAAAAGAAGGCATAATAAAAATGTCATGTCCTTGTCTGCTGTTGCCTAGTTGTCCGAGTGTGAGTGTGTGTGTGTGTGTGTGGCCAGCCCGGGCCAAACAGGATTTTGACCAGGTCCAAGGTGCTAAGTGCGGCCGGCTGATATATATTTTTTTTTGTTTCTGTGCGCCTTTTATTGTCTGTAATTTTTGCCAGCCAACATATTTTTCTTTCTTTTGTTTTATTGTTTTTTCGCGCGTCATTATTTCGACTTTTACGTTTGTTTGTTTTTCTGCGGGCCAGGACAACAGCAGCAGCAGCAGCAGCAGCGGCGGCAGCGGCAGCGCCTTCTAGGCCCAGTTTATTTCTCTGGTCTCTGAGCTCTGGTCTCTGGGCCTATATCATTCGCAGCTCTGTTTATTCTGACATTGAGTGACATTGCAGTGCAACTGTCAATGTTACTTGGCATTTGTTGCATTTCAGTTGCTTTTGGTTTTTGTCTTAAGCCCTTTACCCACTGAAGATGGCTTGAAAAGGGGGTATTTTGTTTATATAGCAGGCAGACGAAGTCATCTTCAAACTCATAAAATATAGCCATGTTCTTATGTCTGTCCACGTCGATCTCTGAGTTTCTAAGAGCTAGAGTCTAGAAATTTAGAATGTCGACTCTTCTATTACAAATCAACGATAGATTGCCATACAAAATCATTAAGTTTTGGCAACAAGCTGAGGAGAAAATTTAAAAGTAAAGTTTTCATAGTGTGAAAGGAAGAAGCAGCACAGCTAGTTTTAAAGTATTTGCGATTTCTTGTGCCGGTACTGTGTACAGGGTATGTGCTAGTTAAGCTCTATCGACAAGTGCTTTCTTACTTGTTCAGCCAGTTCCTCTAGCTCCAGCTTAATTAAGGCTTCAGGTGTAAATGCTCATAAAATGTTGCCAGCGCCGCTGCCACACAGCAAATTATGCGAACACACACATCGGCTTCAGCACAGTGGGTAACCCTCTTCTAAAAGCTAAGCCTGTCCCTTTTAGTTTTTACGTGTTTCCCTTTTTTCAAGCATATTGCAAATCGATTCGTTGGAAATATAAACTTGAATTGTTGCACTGACAACGTCGTCAGCGCTGTTGATGATCAGCTTGACTGTGGTTGGGCATTTTGTCAGTGGAATATTTAGAAACAAGAACTTGTTGAACTTACATTAACTCTTTCAGTAGCGGAAGCCGAGTAAAATGGTTAAGAGTATACCCTATCTGCATATGAATATAGCTTAATCTGCTTAATTGATAAATACCGTATCTTAAGCACATTTTATTCACTTTATCATAGTCCTAAGCAGCTCTAAGCTTCTCCCTTCCTCAAGTTTTTCTGTAGCCAAGTCTGATGTTTTGTGATTATTCTTCATCTCTGTCGCTCTCTCTCTCTCTCTTTAAAGCTTTCTTTTCTCGTTGGAATACTTTGGTTTCGAGCTCTATATTACTCTTTGAGTTATTTTACCTATATTTAAAATGTTTTGTCCTGCTTTGCTTTTATAGGTATCTTTCTTGACTTGAACACCTTCTTTTTGCCACCACGTAAGTGTCTCTCAAGTGTATGTTTCTCTCCCTTGGAACACCTTTCCTGAGGTAAATTTCCTCAAGCATCCATTAAGTTGCGCTAACTTTCTTGCTCTTATTTACTCTTTTTTGAGTAAGTTCAAGTTTCTCTGTCTCTAACGTCTGTATTCCTCTCGATGGCCTCACCAAAGTCTTCGCTACGTCTTTTCTGTCTTGTGTGCCCCACTCTGTCAAGTTTCATGCTCTCTTCCCTCGGTTTCTACTTTATGCTCTAACGCCCTTCTGCATTCTTTCTGGCGCCTTAGCCTTATTTGGTAATTTGCGCTAATCTGGCGCATTTCTCGTCACTCGGCATTTTGAGCTTTGGGCTGATCCTGACTTTCCAGACGCCTCGGTCAATGTCCTATGGTTATTTTATTTTTGGCTGAATTTTGTTTTATGTGGCCAAAAGCTGACCTGTTACCTGCAAATCTTTTCAGTCGGCGGCTGCCGCGTCCCTTTAATAATGAGATAAGAAAACATTTTACGTTCGTTTTGGTTTTTTTTTTATATTTTTTCTGGACAGACTCTGGCAGCGACAACAGGAGCAGCTCCACGCGGATAACTCTATTAAAAATTATTGAAAGCATTATTTTATGGCTGTCCATGGCCATTGATTGCTTTTGCCAGCGGAAATCGCTTAATGGTATTCCAAGGAAACCATTTGGATAGCCTGTACAACACCCCGCCCCTGGGTGGTCTCTGCCCCCACAAAGAGAAAAGAAAAAAGTAGAAAAAAACAACAATTGAGTTGGTTACGTCAGTTACCCCGTCATTGTTGGTTGTTGTTGTTATTCGAGCAGCAATTACCTGCTACAAATGATGTGCCAATTGTATGCCATCACACGAATAGCTCCACCCCAATTCCCAGCTATTTGCACTCCCCAATGCCCATCCAAAATGGGCAATTACCAGTGCTCCAAATGTTGCCAGCAAGGTGTCGGCAGGCACGCATTGTCATTTAGTCAAGATACAAGTACAAGCCGCAGCACGAATGTGAATATGAATTAACCAATACGGGCATGGACAGTGATGCCAGGCGTGTGTGTTCACAGTGAATGCAAGTTGAGGCTTGCAAACGAAATCGTGACATCTGTTGTCTAGCTTACTTAGCCATATTAGTGCTAAAACTCTTTGGGAATTATAAAATGTGCTCTTGTGACTGTTTCTTTTTAACCTTTGTCAACATTTTCTTAAAATAGCCAACAAAAAAAAAATAAATTTTACAATATATCTTCGGCTTACAGTTTTATTTGTATGTTCCCAAGCAACTAAATCGAAGAGCACAATTTAATACTTAAGCATATTCAGGGTTACAACTATATAGGAAATAACTTTTAAATGCCTCCCAAAACTTCTTGGTAACAATTGTGTAAACTGTGATCACTGGTTCAACTGAACGCGCCAACGTGCCGCATTGCTCAACACTGGCACACCTGGAGCTGCGCCATCAGCTGGGGCAGACATCTAACAGATATAACGAAGGCGTCGCGTGCAACAAAATGTGCCCCGTACAATCGACAGACACGCAATTTTTGTTAACCAAATAAAAAAAAAATAACGAAAAAAACTAAAAAAAAAGAAGCCCAAAAAATCGAAAAACCGACGCCCTACGTCCGCCTCAGCACATTAACAACTGCCTAAATACACAAGTTTTTCGCTTCTTTATGATATTCGTATGATTAAAAGCTTCATTTGCATGGCAAGGAGGCGGTAGGGACAAAGTGTTTGAAGTGCACAAAAAAGACCCGGCCAAGACCGAGACCCGAGACCCGGGCCAAGTTCAAGTCATGCAACAGCAGAAGCTCATTATACGGTAGTATAGAGTCTCTTACGTGTACGAAAACTCCGAACTTAAGCCCAGAACTCAGAATTTGCATGGCTGCACGCGATGTCGACTTTACGTAATTGGAAAGTGCCTGTTTGAAAAAAAGTAAAGAGAAAATACCAGAACGGAACGTGTCTTCCCTTCTGTAAGCAGTAGTAGTTCGGTTGTGGGTGGAGGCAGCGAGGGGAATTCCTGCCCGTTGATTTTAAGGCATGGCCACCTTGTAAATGAATTGATTTATTCGTGCGGCACAAGCCAACTGACAAATTAATGCATTTCCGTTCTGCGGCATTATCGGCGCTGCCAAAACCCGACCTGACAGCTGTCCAGATCTTGGCCAATCTCAAGCACATAAATACTAGATATAAAACTTAGCGTACATGTGTATAACATTTAGTTTTTCCTATTTTTCGTTTTGTTTTTTTTTTCCGAATTGCTGGCGCCATCAGTTGCGACATTTCCTGTGCTTGTTGAACAAATTTCTTTGTCATTCTTGGCCAATTCTTGGAAATTGTTTGGATTTAGTGAAAGTTTTTTTCGATTTCAAATCAAATAATACGTAGGCATAGAAGAATTTATAAAGGTGTTGTATGAAGATTTGGGGAAAACCCCAGTTTCGGGGGGAAATAATATACACACTTTCCGTTGTTCTTCATCAAATATATTTTTATGAATTAAAATAACTGTAGAGTTTGCATATTTGTAATATTTTGCCACCCACAAAATCTTTGCTGCAATTCTTTACATAAACATCTCAAACTTCCTTTGTTTTAAGTTTCTTCTGTCTTCAATCAGTTTCTTAAATTTAGCAATCCTTCAAAACTCGGATATTTTTCCATATACTCTATCAGCATGATAGCCTCTATTTGCCGCCTCTTCATTTTTTCTAATTTTCACCATATAATAGCAGATGAGAAGCAGCTCCATAAATGCAACTTCTTTTTGTTTTTTAAACAGTTTTATCTATTGCTAAAAAAAAACTTAAATTAAAATTTTCCAACAATTCGTGCGTAATTTCAATCGATATACATATATTTTATTTCCCACACACGTAAATGAAAAATTTCTATCTCATCGCAGCACAAATTATTCATGGAAGTTGAAGTGTCCACCGAGTCTCTGCTGAACACCAGTCTGTGTGTTCGATAATAATGATGATAAATGCCGTGCTGGGTATTATGTACAATTTAAAGGGTATTTAAGGGATCAAGAACAGGCGGCAGACGACGCGTTCTCGGGCCACAAGATCAAGATCAGGCCGAATGCTCTAACGATCCTCGTTGTAGCCGGTTGTCGGGTTCGTTTTTAGAGCTCGTTGATTTATAAAAAAAAGGGCAGGAGAGAGAGAGAGAGAGAGAGAGAGAGAGAGAGAGAGGAAGAAAGAGAGGGAGAGTGCGTGTGCGAGAGAGACGATCGCATGTTTAGAAATATAAAAAAAATTCGTTGCATTGCCTTTTTGTTGTTGCTGGGAGTGACGAAAGATCATGTCCATTAGGTCGTCTGCAGCCAGTTAATGGCTCAAAATAAAATACAAAAAGGGTCCACAACGGTGGCTGATGCGATCAGCTCTGTTCCACATGAGATTGATATGTTTTCCGGGGCACGGCCGACGATCATATCGCACTGATTATAGTTTTGTGGTTTTAATATTCATGTCGATTATAACGCAAAGTCGGCTAAGCCGAACAGCTTAAAACCATCTTACTCTCTCTCTCTTCTCCCTCTCTCTCTCACTCTCTCTCTCTTTCTGGGAGCGATATTTATTTGATGAATTTATTGCGCCGTTGATCAGCGTCGATCGGCGGCGTTTTGTTTTATCTGTCAGCCATGAAAGCGGCATTTCTTTCATATCATACACGAGTTATCTTTCTGGTCTGGTTCTGGTCTGGTCTGCGACTCGTAAAATGCGCTATTTAATGGCTTGGAGTGTGGCTAGTATGACTAAGCTTCAGATCATCCAACAGATTATCATGTGGTTGTCGAATTTTTATTGATCGGCCATAAAGCAGCAGCTGCCACTAGTTTCATTGGGATAGGCATCGTTTTTTTTTTTCGGGGATCGCATGTCAAATATATTTAATATTTGATATTAAAAATGCTATCGGAGATCTTTGATAATATAAAGTATCTTAAGGTTGATATTATATGTGAAGTATGTTTAGTTAATACCTAATAAAATGTGCATATGAAAGAATTTGTGGAGTTTTATAGATGCTATGTGATTATTTTTTTAAATGTTCGTGATTGAAAGAGTTTCTCGGAATAGAAGCTGATTCATGTGCTTGAGAAGTAGAATGAGAGTGAATTCTATTTGTATATATATATTTTTTAAGATCATTCAAGTATTTTTTGATTGACTTTGATTGAAGAAATTCACAGAGAAAGAGAAAATAGACATATATAGAAATTGACTATTCCTGCTGAAATTGAAACGGCGACTTCTCGCTTGCTTGTTCGACGCTCAGAGACTCAAGTCACATAAGTCACAGAAAATGATAATACAAGCTCTAAGAAAACGTATTTGTAAATTAGTTAGGCACATGCGAGTTAACTTTGTCTGAGATTAATACAAATAAATTATTTCTCACGCCCAAAAAAAAAAAAGAAACCAAAAAACGTAGAAGAAAAATTCTAAGAACTTTTGATTTCAATGCATTGACTAGCTGAGAGTTCAGCTCCTTTGTCAGTTGCTTTTGGAGTGAAGTGCGTAATTGCTGACAATGCAGCTCCTGCCAGATTGAAAACGCGAACGCTCATTACCAATAGGAAAACGAATACGAAAAGTGAAGATCGAAGCCCATTGAAAGCAAACAAGAGGGCAGCGCTTTGAAGCCAAGCCGAAGTTCAAAAGCAAGCCCCATTGTTATTTAAATTCAAGCAGCAAGAGCGAGGGGCTGACAAAGGGAGAGGGAGAGCGGTAGAGGGAGAGAAAGAGAGAGCGACAGAGGGCGGCACTTGAGCGTGGAACGGTAGTGAGGCGGCTGGACTCGGACACGGCAATGGGAATGAGTTTTCTTTGAGAATGGAGAAAAACTATATGAAATTGGCGCTTAAATATTTTCTGGGCACTGTGGGAAACAATAATATTGAAACAGAGAAACGAAAGAAAAGTCAAGAAGAAGAAGTGGCCACAGGGAACGGGCCAGCGCCCCCATCCCACCTGGCATGCCCCTGCTGCTTACTTAAACTGTAAACTTGAAATGGCCACTTGAGTTTTGAAGCGTTAAGTGGAAATCAATGGCGGTGCCCGAGCCCGAGACAGAGACCGAGACCGAGAGCCGGGTTAGCCAAGGTTTCAGCTCTGCGAGCCCGGCAGAAAGATCGAGTGAAGCAATTGACCAAAAACTGTCGAACCTGGCTCTGGGTTTTTCGTCTGACGACTGACGATCGGCAAGCGGTACACTTGTTCAGCTTTGTTGTTGACCATGTTTTTCTTTTTTAACCGTTCTGCGCCTCGTTGTTTTTTCTTCGCCTAAAACGCGGCAGAGCGAACGCGCGCGCTGCGCGGTAGGTAAAAAATGCAGTTGAGATTCTTTTCGTCATTGTTGTTGTTGTTGTTGTTGTTGTTTTCTGCTGTCGTCGGCTTCTCTTGGAAATTTGTTTGTGCGCAACGGAAATGCATTTATTTGTCCACAACTTGGACGCAGCGTTTAATGATGTGACCGCCTCTCGACACTCCGCCACACCGCACCGCACCGCACCGCCCTGCATCACTCCTACCCGAACTCCAACTCCAAGTCCGAGTCGAAGAGCTCGCTCTTTGCCACCGCGCGGGGCGTTAATTGATGAATCGGCGCAACGCTGCTTGAGCAGGTTCAATGACAAGCCCTGCCACTGCCTTTGGTCCTAACCCTACTCCTACCCCTAGCCCTAGACCTACCTGTTACCCTGTTACCCGGCATGTGCTATTTCTTGGAATTTTCACGGCATGATTTCCTTTCCCAGTGGTTCGTTTGCATGTGTCCCGAAAAAAAAAAAAAAATACTTTCATACATGGGTTTTTCCATGTTAAACACATCTATTTAAATTTTAATGATGTTTGTAATGATGGTGCTAAATATTTCCCACATTATTATCACCTATCTATCATTGAGTAAAATTTCGAGCTGTGTGCAGCTCGTTGGGGGTACTGTAAAGGTCGTTATGTTTCAGTTTATTTTATCAAATTAGTTGTTCAATAACTTGGTCTACACAATTGTGAAACTGCTTTTATATAAATGAATATACTATAAAAAATAGATTTATATAAAATATATAAACCAAAAATACGGAAAGTTACTCAAAATCAGCATCAAATAAATTAATAAAATAAAATTAACAAACAAAATAGATAAAATAAATTAAATCAAACAAAATATATATACATAAAAATGTATGAAATAATATATAAATATTCGGTAGTCATTCGGTAATTATAACTTTTCAAATTATTTTAAATTTGTGTCTTTTGCTGTTGGAAATTTTGAATATTGAACAAAAATAATGTTCAAAATGAAGAATAGTATTTCTTCTACCTACATATATTTCAAATCTTTCGATTTTTATATCGTTTAATTTACATGATATAAATCTTACAAGGGCTGCTTGAGGATGGCTTAGAACGGATTATATATCGAGTAATTTGCTAGTCTCAGTATAAAAGGAAAGCCCATCTGAAGATCCAAAAATATCATTACTTAAACAAACTTATCAAAGTTATCACATATTTGCTCAGCACACTTCACTTTGGCGCTGTGCTTGGCGCTTTTTTTTATTTATTTATTATTTTTGTATAATTTCTAACTCTGATTGAGAGCTGGCGCTGGGCAGCCTTCAACGATGCCCAACAATGCTAAACAGTTTTAATGAACTACAAGGCAAACACACACACACACACACACACACACACACACACACACACACACACACACACACACACATGTGGAAAAAATGTTCATTGAAATCAGCTTGTGGCCGAAAATAGCTTGGCAACATATAAGACAATGATCATCGGGGACTCTTGGCCGAAAACCCTTGTCTATTTGATAAAGAAATTAACAGCTAAGAACTTGTTACAACGAGCGCCGCATTGGTAACTCTCGAGGGTGAGGTGTTGATTGGGCAACGCCCTGGACAGCAGCAATTCGATGTTGCCACTCTTTTGGTTGATTTGTCGGCCGGGTGAGAGATAGAAATGATTGCGTTCTTTTAAATTTATGATCGCACATGATGAGCAATAAAATGTTTTATAGCCCAGGGGCTGCTGGCCCCACATTTGCTACCCTTTCGTCGGCAGAGGTACATAAATGTGCGGCACATACCACGACCTCAACAACTTTTGGCTTTAGTCTACCAAATTAAATCATGTGATTTATTGCTTGGCTGTTGGATTTTTCAGCGTACGTTTGCGGCGCGGTTTTCCAGCGGTCCAGCGTTTGTTTCCATTTTCCCTTTTTTCCCCTGCCTGGCGGGCGGTTGGTGGGGTGCAATTGATTGAAATGTCAAGATTCATTAGCCACGAGGCGCTTAATTGCGCCCGAGTAGCACAGGAGCGGTTCAGCAGCAGATGCGGGTGCCGTCTGTTATGTTTAAATTCTCTGTATTATTTCCACTAATTCCTGCCAGACTCTATTATGGATATCTGTGCTTTGCACACTTCCAACCTTGAGCTGCTTGAGCTGGGCGGAAAAACCCGTAAACAATTTGCGCACAAGTGCTGCGCATCGGGTTTAACCAAAGCCGCTTAGACTTGCCATGGCTCGTAAAACCCAAACATGTATTTTTATTTATTGTTTTGTTTTATTCATAAATCCAAAACATGGCCAAATAAGCCAGGAACTACCTGAGCTTCTGCCCATGCAAATGAATGAAACGCTCTCCAAGGTACGCCGCAGTGGGCGTGTAAATTGACAAAGGAACTTTTCGCACATTAGTCTTAAGTGCAGCGGCCCTTTTTTCTGTCTCTCTCTCTATATATTTTCTTCTCATATTTTTTTTGTACACCAGCTGGAAATTTTCACGCGCATTTTGCACCTGTTGTTTGGCATTTGTTGTGCTGCTTGAAAATGTGCAAAAACACGCCGGAAAACAGAAAGAAAAAGAGCGATAAACAATAGACATGACGTTAGAACATTTAGGGTCCTGCTGGTTTTAGCTCGTGCTGCGACCCTTCCCGCTCACAATCGAACCGAGCCGAGTCTTTCGTGGCAGCTGCAGGCTGTCGGGCGGGCAGCGGCACTTAATTAGCCACGGCCTGACTGTGGTGCGGGCTGCCTGGCCCGCCCCGCACCTGGCTCGGCACGGCTCGGCCTGCCGACAAAGTCCAGTGAAAGTTGATGCGATTCGTTGCGTATTTTTTTATTATTATTATTATTATTTTTAGTCTCGACGGTCTCCAGTCATAAATTTGCCAATTTATGCGACAAATCGCCAAAAGAGTCGCACAAATGTGGTCTACGAATCTTGCAATTGGGTCGGCTTTTCGACTTGGCTATGCGGCTTGGTAAAGATGTGGACAAATTCTGCATGTGCTACCACAAGTTTCAGACAAACTTGGCTTACATTTCGCTTGACAGGTGCAAATTTGAACTAATTAAACAATTGTTATACCAAATATTACTGCTTAAGGTTCGTGTGTGGGGCGACGCGCCTCTATATGAAATTTTATAATAATTTTAATGTTCTCCAAAGGGCAAAGCGTTTTCTCTGCTCTTGATTTGCCCGTTGCTTGCAGCTTGTAATTCCCAACAAGTTCAAACATCGAGACGCGGAAAGTTCTTGAAGAAGTTTCTTTACAAATTGGCTCTGTATCAGCTCAAATTAATTAAGCTAATAATTATGCCATGTAGAAAGTGAAAAGGAATTTAATATATTCTTCATTTTGTTTATATAACTATTGTGCGTCCTTGCCTGTGGCTTCCTAGAAAAATCTATCATTCACATTTAGTGAGACAAGTCTCAGTTGAATTTTCATATGGATTTTTAGAAACAAATTTGAACGCTTAGCATCACCCACCAAATCTTTGACCCCCATTGATAAGTACAAAAACCATCGGCTCAACTAAATCCTTTTAAGGGCTTGTAGTACTTATATTAAGTTTAAATTATTCAATATTCAATATATGCTCATCACAAATCGAATTTCTAAGTTCCTAAAATTTAAAAAAAAATAACAAAAAAAACTTTTAAGATATGCGAGTTAAATGTAGCTGAATAACAGCTGCAACACGTCTGCAACATTATTATATTGAAAAAAAAAAAAAAAATGTTTATAATAAACAGTTGCACTTGTTGTTAAAGTAATGTCTGCTTTTTGGTCCAGTCAAGTGATTGTGGAATGAGTTTTGGGCTCGGTTTGGGACGAGATACTTCATATGCAGCTCTCACATTGTCATTGTCATGGAAATGAAAGCAACAGAAACAACAATTGTTGCTGAATGTTGTATGTTATTGTTAGTGAAAGGCTGCCAACGAAAAAGTTAAATTAGATGCAACAAATACGAAATGTGATGGCATTTCCTGCAGACGTGTCAATAAACAAAAGAAAATGAGCAGAATAAGCAGCATAGAGAGGTATATATTAAAGTGTTACTGGCGCACTTGAGCTGCGTCTTATGTTTGGATATTTGTAGTTCGAACTCCTTTTTTTTTAGTGGGGTGAGGGAAAGGGGGGAAGTTGTAAATTGTATTTGTGGTACTTACGTATCTGTGAAATGTCTGTCACTGAGACTGTTCCTTCCGCAGCTAGGTGTATGGCTTTGTTGTGTGCACACTGTGACATTATTACGTAATCTTCTACTGTACATAATGCACCTGAAATCACCACCTGAGGAAGACAAAAATAGAGAGAGAGAGAGAGACAGAGAGAGTGAGTGAGAGGGCGAACTTATTAGAGAGTGTGTATTTTATCACTGGCGCTCTTATCGCACGTATCTATAACAGCCAATCAATATTGTATCTTATAGATACAATACACAACAACCTAAATTGCATACCAGTGTTTACAGCTTGTCAAACACACACACACACACACACACACACACGCACATTCGAGTATGCTCACTGCGCCTTTTTATGACTTCCTCCGTGCACCCGCCCACCCCCGCTCTATGGCGTAGCTCGGTAGTCGCCTGTTTGTAATTTATCATGTTTGATTTGTTGTCTTTTTTTGATATTTTATAACATTCATTCATAATCGCGCCTTTGATTTAATGAATTTATTGTTAGTTTCTTTTTTTTTTTTCGTTTGGTTTTTCTAAGCTCTGTGGCGGCGCTTGGCTCTTTTATTATTGTGCCAGGTCAGGTTGTAAATTAGAATGGCAACTGAATCGTGTTATATTAGGCACCCCAACTGTCAGACTTAAGCATGTTTTATGGCTCATCCGTAGACCATGTAATAAGTTACGCAAATATGGTATGTTGTTAGATTGGCTGTGATTATTTTTGTATTTGTAATTTAAAACTATAATGCGATTTATTTGTGCAATAGTCATATGTTATACCCAGGGGCTTATAGCAATATTTATGCTATTTTTTCAATTCTCTATAATAAGTCTAGACTCTTATTTTAAATAAAGTTTTGTGATTAAGATGCCTAGTTTCTTGTTCTCAACTAGATTTTATTTTCTATCACATTGTTCTCCTGCATGTCCTCCATGGGTTAATATCTATAATTTCTTATGGAAAAGTGAAACCATAAGCTCTTTGATCTATTTGCTACGCCTCGCTTTCATCTGCGTCAGATTACGCTTTGTTATTTCTCTTCACGCACAGCATCCTCTCTCTGCGCTTCTCAAATTAGTTCACATATCGATAACATCGCATACCCTTTCTATTGCTTTGACTGCTTTATCAACCCTCACTGCTCTCCCCAAACCCTTTGTACTCTTCAGCTGCATTAAGTGCTTGGCGCCACAACCGAAACCCTCAAATTTGTAGACCACCCAAAGAGTCCAATGCACACAAACGCCCCCAACCCCACCCCATGCACATGTTAACCACTCCAGAGAGCACTTGACTCCAGTCGTGGCCTCTCGAGATTGGCATCCGCTTGGCTTACAGCCTCATTCACAAGTAGCTTCCACAAATTAGCCAAGTTATAATTCAACTTCTTAAGCTACCCGCTACTCACTTCTCGCTTCTGGTGGAACGAGCCTGAAGACAACAAGAACTAAAACTGAAACTGAAAACGAAACCCAACGAAATCTTATCGCACACTTTGTCATGCTTTTGGTGAACGCCAAGGGGGAGGGGGCTGGTGGTGGTACACCTAGCACATTGAAAATTTATGCTCCGCATAACCTCGTTTCATACTTCGCTTCAAAGTTTTTTCCCAAGCGTAGTTAACGCTACTTCAACGTGCTTCAAGATACAAAAGTGGAAAGGTTCGTTGGGGTATTTGGCAGCGGGTTTGGGGGTGGTTGGTAAAACGCATTATTTTGTAATTATCGACAGAGTTCTAATAAATAAAACGAATGTGCGACGTACACAAAATAAAAATAAAAAATAGAAAAAATTAAGATAGAACAGCTAACTGCGACGCCGAAGTTAAGATACTCTTACAATAATGTGACTTAGATATGCCACATGGGAAGTCTTTATTTTCGATCCGATTTGATGTGCTTTTGGGGAGAACTGGAGGAGAGAATGGGAGAATTGTTAGGCTCTCAGCTGCTGAGTCATGATTATAGGAATATCAGCAAAGCAAGCCAAACATTTTGATCAAGCTCGAATGTTTTCACTTTATGGGGCTTAGAATTATCTTCTGACATGTGTTGCCCACTTCATGACAATTTCATAATACCCTCAAGTTAGGGTATTTATGGAAACATCGCATGGCCCCGCACAACACTTTGCGACTGGGTTATAATTTTTGTTTTCTTTTTGTGGGTTGATGAAATTATGAATGAAGATAAGGTATGCCACAGAACTTTTGAATGGGCCTGTATGCGTGTGTGGGCGTGTGCGTTTATATTTGGGCTTGTTGTTATTGTTGAAAATGCGATTACTTTTAGAGAAACGCAGAAATTCTATTTATCGTTCAAAATCTTCAATAATGCAAACTATATTGGATTAACTGAAGTGCAGATCAAATAGCTTGCAGCCATTCATTAAACCACAGATGAGCTTTTAATCTCTACACATTTCTTTTATATTTACTAGAGATTTCTTAATCGATTGGATCAAGAAAGTCTCAAATTAATCAAGATAAGCTCATTTTGGTTATGGCTTTTAACTGCGCTTATAGGGTATCATGAAGTTATGCCGCTTTGCTTTACACCTTAAAGCTCTGAACAGGGTATCATACATTCGGGCATTATCTTACTGGCCTGACAACTGGCTATAGGGCATCCGCTGGGCTAACAACCTCAGTCTTGCCTGAATTTTTACACAGCCTCGCATGTTAGTAAGAGGTATAAGCTAGTCGATCACTGTCCTACTTATCCCACTTGTTTCTGCCCTTGTTAGCAAGGAGTATAGCCCAGTGATCGCAGACTTGATATCAGACTTGTTTTTCTTGGCATTACAAACTGTAGCTAATGCTTTTCTTCATGCAAAATTCCTGAAAATTTCGAAGCAAAGGTCAAAGAAATGCATAAAACATTTCAACATTTCTAAGCTTTTTTTATATAATCTTTCAGATGTCTGAGGTTTTGAAAAACTTAAAATAAACATTGCCTTTATACTGGGTAGGCAAGTAAAACTGTTAAAATAGCGAGAAAATAATTTCCAAAGAAACGTGTGCTTTAATATCTTTCAGTTACAAATAGTTGCCGGAAACAGAAATTCATGCCTTGAAATTGTTATTGTTTTTATTTCTCTTTATTATATTATTCATATCATAGTTATTTTAAAGTTGTTTCACGAGTTTGATTTAATTGTTAAAATATATTTAACATTTGTATTCAACTTGAAAAAAAAAAAAAATAAAATAATTTTTCAGCAACTGAATATAATGTAAAATATATTTTGAGCATTTTAGACAAAACGAATATCCAAATTTTTTTTTTATTTTTAATATTTGATAGAAATTTTTAAAAATAATATTTCACGATTTAAAGTATTAGAAATTATAAAAGGGAATTAAAAGAATATTTCAATCAATAATAATTTATGATTTACTTTATTAAGAAATTAATATCTAAAATAATTTAGGCCTAAGAATATTTTTTTAATTCTTATTGTTTTATTTAAAATTAATTAATATATCAGCATTAAAAAAAAAAAAAATTTTAATTTGTTTCATGATTGATTTCTTAAATATTTTATCTACGTTAATATCAATATTTTTGAGATTATAAATCATTATTATTATAATTATTATTTTTTTTATTATTATTATTATTATTATTATTAATATCAATTTAATTATTATTATTATTATTATTATTATTATTAATATCAATTTAATTATTATTATTATTATTGTTATTATTATTATTATGTGTGGCTTTTCCAATTCAGGATTATGCCAAATATTTAACTGTTTTACTTACAATAAAAAAGAGCAGTCTTTTCAACTGATTCGACATTCATTCGGCGATTAATGTACATAATTTTAACCCATTTACTGCCAGCTGAGCAGCAAACTAATAATTCGTCCCGTTAACTGCACCTCAAATTTGAACAGTCTGGCAATGTGGCTTGTTTTCGCTGACATTGAGCTTATACTGCAAACTGTGGGCGTGGCAAAGTGGGCGTCATTTATTGGGAAGTGCAATTGTTAAACGATTTTTGCGCTTAGCTCATATTTTTTCTAAACAATTTTTTGCGATAATTTTTGTCACAACTTTTGGCGAGAATATTTCGCCAGGAATTTTAAATTTAACGCGTTCGGTCGTTCGTTGTGTTAAATAACAATAACAACAGACACAAAAGCACACATTTACACTTGCATTAATATTAGCGGACACTTCCGTTTCCGCTTTGGCAAAAACAACAACAATTTGCGGCAATTGTCACGTATGAGCGATGAGTTTTTTTGTTTTTATTTTGTTATTAAATATACTTTGCGGCGTTGCCACCTGATTTTGCAAATGTTGCACGCGTAACGGTAAATGCGAACTGCACACACACACGGCGACACAACAGAGTGAGTGAGAGAGAGAGAGAGAAAGAGAGCGAGCGAGAGAGAGAGAGAGGGAGAGACGCTGTTTTGTCCGCAGTTGAGTTGGCAGCGACGTTGAACGTCTTTGCAGGGCGATTGAATTATCGAGACTAACCGAAACGAAACGTGCGACATTTTCTTGTTGCTGTTGTTATTGTTGTTGTTGTTGTTGGATACGGATACGGCCAACATAGCTGGCGGCAGTGACAGTGGCTGCGACAGCGACCGCGGCAGAGGTGGCAGCAGCGACAGCGGCAGCGGCAGCTGGCGGCAAACGAGCTGCATACAGACATGTTGCATGTCGAACCGGGCGGCTCAGCCAATGCCAGCTCTGTGCTATAGTCGCTCGATCTTGAGCAAAATCTGCGCATTTTTTATGAAAGCTTTTTGGTTTAGTTATTCGTTTCTTCAAGTTTTCATTAAATAAATTTTATAGTAGTAATAGATATATGTAAATATGTACGTAAGCCCTGTTTATAATATTAACATGATTCTCAGTTTGACTCAAGTTTTTATACAAATATAAGAATATATATTTATAGTTTAGTATATTTGATTGTATATCATAACGTTTTTCGATGTTTGAGTGCGTCTAATACCAATTGCGCCTGTCGCCTGCTTTTTGCTGCTGCTCTTAACATTTGCTTCTAGCATGCGAGAAATGCTGTTAACAGCCGCTCGGCCCGCAAGATGTGCTGCGGCTAACAGAGTCAGCACATCGAACCTGTTGTATGAGCTGTTAGAAGCAGTTGCCGCAGCTGTTGTCGCTGCTGTTGTTGAGGTTCGATTGAATTTTCGACCGGCTGTTAGATAAAATGTTAATGTAATGTGAGAAGATAAAAGTGAAATTAATTCAAAATTGCTTAACGGAATTTCGGGTTACTGTGAGTCACAATATATGGGCAATATATTTTTTATTATATTTGAATAGTGTACTGCAAGTTATTACGTAACTCTCGGAGTCTCGGAGTCATATATAATTTGATTGCTCTCAGGATTTTCGGGTAGGTCGGGCACAGAATATTTATGCTGTCATTTAACATAGGAAAAGTCAACGCTGTTTAAGCAGCTGCCTTTAGCTTTAATTGGAGCTTCTAATATTTTAAAACGATTAAAATTCAGGAATATTCGAGATGATTCAGTGTGATAAGAGTGGGACACCTTTAGCTGGAAAATTCTAGAAAATCTCTATCAGACCTACAGGATTACAGTTCGAGTAAATGAGAAATATCCTTAAGCTTTATTTTCATTAAATATATATTCCATATTTAAGCCAGTTAATTGTGACGTTTGATATTTATTATTTACTTCATTCTCCAAGATCTAATAAACGGAAAGGACATTTTTTCTTAAAGGCTCGTAAAACTTAAAAAATGTTTAAGCCGTAAATCAAAATATCTTATATTATTTTTAAGAAAGTGGGATATGTTAAGTACAAAAATATCGGTAAATAGTAAAAAACTTAAGACTTTGAAAATTTCGCTTTCATGTCCTTAAATAGTTTGAGTTTTGTGCAACATAAAATAAAGCCCATTAACAGAGTTTTGTGGAACAAAGGAAATGGAAACACAATAAACTGTCGGATTTACGTGCTGGACACGCGCAGCTCATTAATGGACTCAATAATGAAAATTGCAATAGTTCTGGGTGTCCATAAAACTGGTTAACGCCCACGCAATAAAAACGGGAGCAACCCCTAAAAGTGTCTCTCTGTGTGTTGGTGTGTGTGTGTGTGTGTGTGTGTGGCACAGTTTAAAGCGATTAGGGTCACAACAAAAGGGACGCACTAATAAGCAGAAGGACCCGCATGCAAGGACTTCCGTTTGTCTGGTTAATGTGTTCTTGTGATCTCTCTGATGTGGGTGGCAACGCTCGGAAGTTGCCAAAAAGAAATGAACTGCAAGCATTTGATTGAACACTGATTGACAGTGGTTCAGAGGCGGAAGACAGGAAGCCCAAGCGGGGCTGCTCGATGGGTCCTGGCAACTGGCAACTGGCAACTGTCAATCGATTTGCAAATTCATCGACATGGACATGCGTCCATTTTCATTGTTCAGCGCACAATGGCGATTTGTGCTGCCAGCCGTTGCCTCCTGCCTTCCTCTCCAACGGCATCGCCTCCATCTTCCGCTGTCCTTGTAATCCTCGATAATGGGCTATTGTCAGCGCGTCTGATGCTTGACGCCTGGCGACACTGACAAACGCCACTGTGACGACAGCTACTTGGTTTAGTGGTTCGTTGATTCCCTGCCCATACCCGCTTGGCCCATTGGTGACGCACTCTGGCACACACTCGGTATTGGATTACCCATTGCGGCTGCTGCAATTAAGCGAGGCGTCTCTTGTAAGCGTATTAAATGCGACACAGGCTTTGCTTTTCAATTGAGTTGCACTAAACTGAAAATACATGGGATTAGGCCGAGCTACTGAAAATAAGTACGAAATAAATGGCAAAAGTACTCAATTTTCTTTTTAAATTCCTTGCTGATATGTTCATAATATCGTTAAGTAACTCGAAAATTATGAAGGTTAGAAACAACTTTTTCGTTTCTCATAAATTCTGCATATAAGCTCTAAGAGTTTTGTAATGATCGGACAATAAACACCGATTCTGGTCAGAAATTCTCTGACCGTGACCGTGGAGAGATGTAACTGTACTTATCAAGTAATGTTGCTATCCCACGTAATCGAATTATCGCAAGTGCTGAAACTATCGATAAGCAAATTAATCGCTCAATCAAGCGCTCATTTGTAATTGTTCACAATTAGAGTCCGCCCACGTATTTTTATCGCATTGTTGCAAGTCATACGCATGAGTAACACAACATCTAGATAGAAAATATAATTAATTTCCCAATTTCTATATTAATTTCGTGCGCCTCGCCATATGGGGGCATTCCTTTGGTCAGTTCCAAGAGCTGACTCACAATTGCCCGCGATTATAGTCTACCCATAGGCGTTTCGGTAGATAATATCGTTAACTATTTATTTGCAATTCACATTAAAACTGTTGCCAGGTGAGTAATTTGGCTCAATTACTTGGCCCAAATAGCGAAAGTCACGGCCTGGCGCTGCCTCCGTGCTTGTTCCGTTATCGCCGTGACGTCACAAGAATTTACGTTACGACAGGTGAAGCGATTAGATTGTTGCAATATAACTCAAAATATGTTGAGCAATTTAAATTCTTGCATTTCTACGTTGCCAAGTGACAGTCAAGTGTTTGCGAAATAAAGAAGAAATAATACAAAAAAAAAAAAAAAACAAAAACAAATGGATCCCTTCAAGCGCTGCCATGTGCCAACCTATTCTACAATTCTACAAGCTTCCAAAACAATATTAATCATGTGCATTCTATGTGGCCAATTCCAACACGCCCTCAAATCGCGACAGAAAAATATATATGTGGGTGCTTGAGACTGTGCCGGGGGAGTTTTCAATAATAGAGCTCGTGACTGGGAAAGAAGCACTGAAATAATATATAAAAATTGCCTTAGTCTAAAGTTCAACTACTTGAAATGCTTATTTGTCTAGTCTTAGCCCTATTTTATTTTTCCATTTATTTTTTTTTCTGCACTACAATTTCGAAATTCTTATCGAACAAAGCTCAGACTGTGTCAAGTTATAGTTAAGAGCTAGAAGCAAATAATGTTTAGTTTTAGATTCATTTATTTTTTTTTTTTTTTCAATTTTTTTGCAATTTTCATTTATGAGTGCTAATAAGCCAGTGTGCGACTTCTGCGGCATTCGCTCGCATACACCAGAATACTTAGAATGACTGGGCAAACATTTTCGAGTGTAAGCAGTCATATAAGCGAACTTAACTGAAGGGTCGCCAGTTTCTGGTATTCCAGGAATACTAAGCCCAAGAGCTCCCTGACTGGTGGCCCGCGCAGACAAGTGCTGTTACAAGGGCTTCAAAACGTCTGCATTTCTGCACATGCATTTCAAAATAGCGTATTTTTATTTATATTTCGATTGCATTTGATTTTTATAAAAACAAATTTCACTTGCGCTGCATGGTAGTTGGCAATGCGCGACAGCTTGGAATTGGCAACGCTGCGCTGCTTTCGGTAATTGCAAGCACAGCTTTCCATGCATTTCGATAAGCGAGCCTGGAAAGCTGCCGTGCACGTCGGCCTATGCAAGCACGCCTCCTTCCAAGGCTCGCAAGCAACTCTGTGGAGCTGCAGGCGCAGCCAAGTTCACGTTTTTTTCTTCTGCTGCTGTTGTTCCAGTGATCTTTGCAAAGTGTTTGAATAAGTTTAAGAAATGTGCGTGTTAAATGTGTTAACTAAACCAAGTCTAGCATGCAGCTCATGCAAAAAGTGTGCATGGAGAAAGAGGTGAGCCAGTGTCCACAATTTAACATTGCTATTTGATGCCTAACTGTAAATTTTATAAAAATTTGATTAATTTGCTGGCCTAGAAAAGCTGCAAAAGCATTTCTGCAGCCGGCACAACCACTTATCAAATTAATTGGCCGCGTGGGTGGTCGGTTTCACTTGTCGTTCGCACAGCTTCGTTTAATTGCGAAGCCAAAAACGAAAACTCCAAAAAAAAGAAGGAAAACAAAACAAAATATAGATAAAGCGGCATAAAAAAGCGCAGCTTATTGTCTGGCTAATTGACTACGTCGCGCACCTCGCTCAGCTGACAACAACAACAACAAAATCAACGGCAACAACAACAACTGCGGCTGCCGTTTTGTGGCCAAACCCATGAAATTGTTGTTGTTGCTGCCTTTTTGGCAATTGGCCTCTTGACTTGGCGCTAGCGACGCCGTTTAAAAAACTTAACAATTTAATTTGTGATTTTCGCATTTAATACCCTATCTTGGGGTATTAATGTTTTGTTATGAAGTGTATTAAGCACATATGCATTATAGCCAAAGTCACAATAGTCATATCCAGCTGCACGTCTGTAAGAGTCTCTCAGTCTTGGCAGAGGTTCGACTTGCTGTGGAATGCTTTATATATGATGGCACCTGTTGGATCGAACTTCTATATCATGCAGCTGCCATGGCAATAAATAATTGAAAAAATTGGGATTTTGCATATTTTTTTCAGCTTATCTTGGCCAAATTTGTAATTTATTAGCTTCATTATGTTTCTTACATATGAGAAAAATCTAAACAATATCAGATTACTATATTGTAAAGTTCGATATGAAGGTTTCGTTAAAATGTCAGTTTTTCTTTAAGATCCTTTTCTATAATAAACAAGTTTAGCAATTACGAGCCTAACTATTTTCCTCCCATAAGCATTTTTCATCGAACATGTCATGTTCCCCTTTAGAAACAACCGCTTTCAAAGAAAGCGTATTTAATATTCGCCACGCAAATAGTTTGCTTTTGTGTTTGCTATCGCTGACAGCTTGAACTCAGTTGGCAGCGAGTTGGCAGCACCGCCTTTTGGCCACTTGAACTTCGTGCGCAACTGCTGACTGCGATTGGCTCTGGAATTTTGTTGCGCTAATCTCCGGAACTGAAATCGCGGTAACCCGTGGCGCCAATCAATATAATTGACTGATTACCGACTGCATTATTTAGACACAGCTGGTGACGCATTTATTGGATTTTGGACCCCCTGCTCTGATGATTACACTGAAAGTGTTGACAAAAAACTGAAAACCTAAGCCTACGATTGTCTTCATTGTGAAATTGATAAGTGGTCAGGCTCTGATTTCGTGCGCTTGCAATAGCCTGTTGCTATTGTGACTGACAAGTGGGCATGCCCATAAACACAGTTGTTTTCATAAAACTAGCTCAGGGCAACTAATCAGAATGAGTCCTATTCGTTTGTTAAACGAAGGCTTAGTCTATACTTTATAGCACATATAGCATTATTATTTCATTATTTTGCTAAAGCCTAACAAGATTAAACTTTATAACCAGCCAGTCCGAGGGTAATTTCATGTTTAACAAACTTAATTTGATATAAGTTAAACATCTTATTATTAGGAATTTACCTAATCTATATAATATGTATTAATATATAGATTTGAACATATGCCCTCAAATTTATCAGTGAATAAAAAATGCATAGAAATATATTTGCTGTTGATCTACTGACATGTTGACAACTTTGTCAATTCCATCTCTCTATACTTTCTATTCTTTTTAACTTTTATACCGCTGTTAATCTTGACTTTAATATAAACAAGTTGTCAAACTTAATTTGGGCTTCGATTAATTTGCTTCAATTTGACTTTTGCTTGTCAACAGCTTAACAGAATTCTCATCTAGATGTCAAAAAACTGGCAACAAGTGCTCTTAGAGTTGCCACCTTGTTCGGCAACGTGTCTAACTGGCAAATACTTCTAAATTTTAATAAAAATATATACTGACGACATTCTTGATATCTTTGACTAGTAAGTTCTTGTTAACTTTTCAAGCTGCTGTTTTTATTTATGGCAAATATGTTTAAAATTAGAATTTTCAATTTACTTGTAAATGTTTGCTTGTGAATTTGAAAGTCTTGTTATTTTAAACAAATCAATGCATTATCAAATTTAACTTCTTTTCAATATGAAGTGTAAACCTTGCGAATTTTATATTTGTTTTTTACTGAAGTAAACAATGAAGTTTATAACTTTGAAAATATTGTCCAATTAAACTTCTTGGCAGAATTTAATATTAACCTTAAAAGAAGTTAATTTAATTCTTTGATTATTTAAAAATATATTTATGCATTGTACGTTTTTGATCAAATTTCTAAAATCTATAAGGCATGTTTTTCTAAAAGATATTCTAATTATGTCATGAGATATGCAAAGCCAAGAGAAATATATAGCCAACCACATAACTAGAGTACTATATGCTATGAAAGTAAAGCTTGTCTAGCCCATGTGACTGCAAGGGTATTCAATCTTCGGCATGCCACAGAGCAGACTATCTGATATCTATGCTATGCAAAGCTTGGGTTTGTAAGGAGCCAAATTCTACCTTGGGCAAATGCTCATCCTTATCAGTGAACAGCGTCAAATGGCCAAATGCTTATTTATAACAGTATAATATAATGCAGGTCTGGTCGGCACAATTTATATATACACGTATAGCACAGATTTATGGCCAGTGTTGCGGCCTAATTGAGTTCATAAAGATTACGCGCTGGCGCACAAATCAAAACAAATCGTAAATAAATCTGAAATAATATTTTATTTTATATATTTCTTTTTTTTTTTTTCTTAATATTTATTGAAAAACTGTGTGAATGAAAGAAAATGGGAGTAGAAAATACTATTTGGCGATTTGCACTTGACAATTTGGCCGGCTGCTATCGGCCACGTTTGATGTGGCATCCGTTTCTTGCATTGAACTTTGGCAACGCATCGTATATTACCGTCCCGGGTGGACAGCTCACTTATCGTTCGTTTGGCTGAAAAGAATTAGGGGCCGGTTCTTATACGGGGCCCCACTTGAGTTTCGGTCTATTTCAGGCGCGGTCGCGGCTAATGAGCATTAATTGATTTCCAATGCCCAACAGCTTGGCCCCCGCCCAGCACTTGAGGAGCCCTGATTTATGGGCGTTACGTTGGCCAGGCACGACACAAATATGAGACGTTCTGTACAGGATCCTGCGGTTTCCTGGGCACGTGTTTACCCTTATTTTGTATACATTTCTTATATACTTTTTGTTCAACTTGGCCCAAAACCGCAGTGAAGCTAACGAATTTTGGTAGCACAATATTTGTCTCTGGCCGCAGCAACGAAAAACCGCAAAGTCAACAAAATATGCCGGCGGCCGCGCCACACAATGTATTGTATCTGTATTTACACATAAAGTATCTGTATCTATGTATCTTTTGTGTGCATTTCGGCGCGTGGCCGCCGGGCTATTCATGTTTAACAAGTAATAAAAGTGATTAAAGCAAATCTAAACGCTTGTCGATTTTGTTAATTACACTCGACTATGCGTGTGTGGGCATATGTGAGTTTGTGTATGGGACCCGGCTGCATCCATTTGTTAATCAAAATTTTGTGGAGCCATGCAATATGCAAATGTAGCAAACAGTTTGACGTACAAAGTAATCAATAGAACGGAAGCTTAAAACATGCGAAAGGGCTTTGATTTGGTTGTTTTAGTAATTACATAATGGTCGGAAATTGAAGTGGGCGGCACACTGGCTCGATATGCTTGATATGCACAGTGGAATGAATGGGTTAAAAACGAGGCTAACTCTATTGTTAAAATATTATGTTAAATGGGCAAATGTGTAGATCGCAACTTTTATATTAAACTTCGTACAGGGTTTTCTGATGCTTGGAATACTAAACAAATAGAATGTTGTATGCTTAGGACACATAAATAAACTGTTATACATACTTAGGCATAAGAAACAAAAACGGTTTCACCAGTATACGATATAACATTTCTTTAAACTGCAGAGAGCCTTGCCAAATTCGATAATGGGGCAGATAAGCAAATTCCAATATTGTTTAGAATTAAATTAATTGTAAATATGTTGCCATAAACAAAAATAGACGACAACAATTAGCTGTTATATTGTTATACAAGCTAAGTTGTTTTGCTGTTATACATGTTATATAGATTTATATATCTTTTATTGCTAATGCCAAAACTAGACAAAAACTTAGAAGCATTAGGCATCTAGTAATACACAATTAACAATTGTATTGTCTATGAATACCAATCTTAAATAAAAGCTTCATTTAGTTCGAATTTGGCCTGTTGTATAACTAAACTGTGCCACTGTACTATTCTACACAAATTTCGCTGTGGCTACTCGTTATGCCATCAGCCATAACGCGACCCTGCCTTTACCTGTATAATGTGTATGTTCATTTATTGCTGCGCTACCCTCTTGGCCGACCCCATCAAGTTGCATGTTGTCAAATGGCATGTTTCTCACTCCAGAGCTTCTCTCTCTACTTATTTTTTTGGCCTTTTGGCATTTCCATTTGCCATTTTCCAGCGGAAATGTGCGCCAAAATGTTTGCGTGCCTTTGAATTATGGGTGTGTTAGTGTGTGTATTCTGTGTGCTGCACGTAGCTTCAAATATTTGAAATTTAAGTATGCAGAAAAATACATCATAAAAATGGGTGTTAGCAAGGAGTTTGGGTTGCCAACGCCGCCCGCGTGCACATGGCGCCGGCAAATGCGTTCATTGAACTGCCAAGAAATGCAATAAAATCAACAAAAAAAAAAAAAACACTGAAAAGAAAATAAATACATATGTATATGTGTGTATCTAGAATGTGCTGCTGATGGCGACGACATGGACGCGCCATAGGCGAGGCGACACGATCCAAGACAAACAACTCGCTCCGGATTTATGGAGTCGGTCGGAGGGCGCATATGTCTCCGTCTACTACTTAGTCGC